TCCGAAATGGTTGGGACCAGAGGTGCTTTCAGAGCCAGGTTGGCTTAGTGGTTTGAGTGTTTGACTATGACTCTGGAAACCAGGATTCGATTTCCAGCTCAGACAGAAAACCTATTGGGTGACATTTGACAAGTCACACTCTCTTAGCCTCAGGTAAAGGCAATGGCAAACCTCCTCTGAACAAATCCTGCCAAGAAAACCCCACAATAGGTTCACATTAGGATCTCCATAAGTCAGAAATGACCGGAAGGCACACAACAACAACAACAAAAGAGGTGTTTTGGATTTTGGAGGGTTTTTTGGGATATTGGAATACATGTATTTGTATATACATACACTCGTCCCTCCACATTCGCTTTAGTTAGGGGCACAGGACCCCCTTGAGTGTGGAAAAACCACAAATAATAAAACACTATGTTTTTACTCGAAAGAACACCTCTCTAGGAATCTCTCAGTACTTCCGGGCAACTTTTGGTTATAATTGACCACATAGTTGCACTTTAGGACCTAGATATTCCTAGAGAGAACATATTAATAAAATCCGTGAATAATCAGTCCTCAAAGCTGCAAATTTGGGGGGACAAGTGTACATAATTAGATGTCTTGGAGATGGGACCCAAAATTCATTTATGTTTTTCATATGCAGTTTATACACATAGCTTGAAGGTAATTTTATACACAATCATTCTAATAATGTTGTGCATGAAACAAAGTTTGTATGCATTGACCCATCAGAAAGCAAAGTCTTGACTGTCTTAGCCAACCAGGAAAAATTTTTTGGTTTTTGGAATATTTCAGATTTAGGGATAAGGGAGACTCACACTGTAGTAGAACATTGGCAAATGCTCCAACTCTCCCAATTTGGCAGAGACAGTCCCATTAATCCGGTACCATTTCACTTTTTAAGCTGCTTTTAAAATGTCCCAGTTTCTCTATCCTCCTCTCACTTTTCCTCTCTGTTCTCAGTTTACTTCAGTTGCTGCAAACTGAGTATAAAGTGCAAAGTAGTTTGTACTCAGTCAATCCACAGGTGCAACAGAAGGATGTGCAATCTTGCCCTTCCCAGGAGGCTCAGGCAAAAGCCAACTGCTGCAGTCTTTCTTAGCTTGGGTCTTCTTCCTCATCTTTTGCTATCTTGACCACACTTTGATTTTGTTTGGCTACATGTGTCCTGGTTTTCATATGTGAAATGCTGGACGGTGTGCATTGGTTCTGAGTAGCTCTCGGGGTTTGAATCTCCAGTCAGTCATGGAATCCTACTGGGTGCCCTTGTGCAAGTCACACTCTCTCAACCTCATAGAATCATAGAATTATAGAGTTGGAAGAGACCACAAGGGACATCCAGTCCAACCCCCTGCCATGCAGGAACTCCCAATTAAAGCATCCCCGACAGATGGCCATCCAGCCTCTGCTTAAAGACCTCCAAAGAAGGAGACTCCACCACACTCCGAGGAAGGCAGTGGTGACAAATCTCCTCTGAAGAAATGTGGCCAAGAAAACATTGGGAAAAGTTTGCCACAAATGGAGCCAGGGTGCTATAATGGTTTTTATGGCTGAGTAAGGCTCCCAGAGTCCTCACCCAACACTCAGACCACTACACCATGTTGGTTTGAAAGGGAGCAACCTTGCCAAATCCAGGAACGTGCAATATCACATATATTGGAGAGAGGAACGTGCAAACCTGCTTCGTGAGTTAGCACCACAACGGCAAAACCACAGGACTCATATTTTTTTCAGTTCCTTTTCCAGGTGCCAAAACTTCCTGAAATACTGTATTCAGAAGCTGGCCTTTTCAGCTTGTTCTACAGATGCATAGTACATCTTGCTTTGAAAAGAAAAAAAAATACCCCCCTCCTGCAAACCAACACCCACAAACCATGCTTGCATATATACACACACCTCCCTGGCTTGTTTAGTCACACTTTCATATTTACCAAGAGGGGCTGGGGACATCCCACACCAAACCTACAAGAGTTGTGTCTTTTTGCTGAGAGTTTTATGCACAGATGAGATTTTCCATTTGTCTACTTGTGGTACATATTTGAGATCCCTCAGGTGTCATGCCTTACACTGGTGAGGATAAGACCCTGAAGACAACCTTGCTGGATCAGTGTAAGCAAGGACAGAATATTTGCAGATATTAGAATTGCTGGCCATCAAGATTTAGAAATCCTGAATAGGAGAATGTGTCAGATCCTTTGCTGTTGGCACTTGGGCATGAGATTTGTCCTGTGGGATTTTTGTGTGCAGAAAAATGAGATTTCTCATTGGGAACTTTCTTTTGTTGAGGGGGGAAAAAGGGATGCTCTGTACAGAATCTGTCGGTGAGAACTCCTCTTTTTCTATGACAACAATAAATCTCCTGCGTGGAAAATCCTGGTGCAAATGGATCTTGCGGCACCTTTGAGACAAACTGAAAGTAAGAAGCTGGTAGCATGAGCTTTCATAGACCTCAGTCTTCTTCCTCAGATGCATGGAGTGGAGGGTCCGGGGACAGACCTATATAAGCAGGCTGTGTATAAGAATAGCAATAGAAATGGTTGTTGGGGGACAAAGGTAGGATGTTGCCTAATGTCAAGGTGAGTAGATAAAGGCAATATCCTGCCTTTGTTTCCCACAATTTTTGCATTTCTATTGCTGTTCTCTCACGTAGCCATCTAATAAAGGTCTGTCCCTGGACCATCCACTCCATGCATCTCAGAAAGTAAACTGAAGTCCAGGAAAGCTCATGCTACATTTGCATACTCATTTTCCAGACCAACATGGCTATATCTTTGAATTATAAATAAATCCTGGGTTTGCATATGCATAAACCCCAACTTTGTTAGTGCAAAATATGCCATAATCTGCAAATACTGCTCAAAACCTGCACAGTTTTCAATGAATCACTGGGGAGAAAATTGCACAAGCTTTTTCTTTCTTGCTGGCAGGAAAGAATAATGCCAAAGATCAGAAACTGGTTGAGCCCAGGATCTTTTGCCTGTAAAATAAGCATTTTATAGCTGGACTCCATTATTGCCAAATGTATGTTAGGTCTTTGTTGGCTTTTCCCAACTTCTGGTTTCCCAATTTTGTTGGATCACAAAATCTCAGTCCTCTCTCGACCATTAGCCATGGTGGCCAAGGATGTTGGGGTATGTAGTCTGATATCCTCTGGGGTCCCAATATTGGGAAAGGCTGATGAAGGTTTTAGGATTATTGCCAACTAAAAAGCCATATTGGAAACCTGAATACACATACATACTCTAACACAGAGCATACGTTTAATTCTAGCAAGCAGAGTTGGAATGTTTTCATATTGTGGATGAGAACAGAACCTCCCCCTCCCCAAAACTGAGCTCCACTTTGAAAACATCCAAAGAATCTGGGACAGTCTTGAGAACCAGAAAGAAAACAAATTCCAGTGAAAATCAACTCCTATTTTCTGGAAGTTCTTTATCTGTTGAGAACTTTTCAAGAGTTCTGTTTTTCAGTGCTGGACGGTTTCAGCTGGGGAATAACCCTTTCTCCTTCTCGGTGTATGAGAGGCCAATGGGCTATATCCCTTGTCTTGTGTCAGTAGGGTGGCGAATTTGCTCCAGATTTCTGTCTGAACTTGGAAGGAGCCTTGCCCTCCAGATAGATTTACCATGCCATTGACATGGGAGACACCAGCTGCCATGGTTTGTTTTTTAAAAACTGACTGGCATAGATGGACGATTGGCATAGATGAGTGATTTTACAACTGATTTGCTTTGCAACCTGTTTTGTCAGATGCACAAAGTGCTAGAACAGGCACCAAAGAAATTTCTCAAGGTGTGGAAGCCCCCTCTCTGTCAGAAAAAGATGAAGGAGTTTCTGGTTTAGTCATCAAGGAAAATGCTATCGCTCAAAGGACTGCATCGGGACTTGCAGCATTTGATTTCTTATCCCCACCATAAACTCTTAGAGCAAAGGTAGGGAGAGTGTGGCCTATGTACTGGATGTGGCCCTCTGGACCATTTTTTTCTGATGACCAGGACCCCAGAAAACAGTGATTTTTTAATTATTCTTTTTTAAAACGCAATGTTTTGCCCCAAATGCCCACTCCCCTAAAAGCCTCTACAGGTATGGGGGACAGTTTAGGCTCCTTTTCCTCCATAGGGTGATTTTGGGGTAATTTTCATGGGAATTTCAACAGGGAGAAATGGGCAGTAAAAATGAAATGCACGGATATAGGATGGGAGACACTTGGTTGGAGAACAATACATGCAGAAGGGATCTGGGAGTTTGTGGACCACAAAGACTTTTAGGGAGGTTGGCAGTGTGATGCGACAGCTAAGAAAGCCAATACGATTCTAGGCTGCATCAATACAAGTATAGTGTCTACTCCAGACCAAGGGACATGATAGTGCCACTGTATTCTGCTTTGGTCAGACCCCACCTGGAATACTGTGTCTTGTTCTGGGCAGCACAAATCAAAAAGGTTGTTGAGAAGCTGGAGTGTTTCCAGAGGAGGGCCATCAAAATGTTGAAGGGTCTGGAAACTATGCTTTATGAGGAGAGACTTAGGGAGTTGGGTATGTTTAGCCTGGA